GAGAAAGACCATGACAGCTGAGGCAGGTGGTGCCATAGGGTGGGGCTGCCCAAGTCCTTTGGAGTCCACACTTCATAACTTGCCCTGGTACTGGACATAGAGCTACAGGATCCAATGTTTGCCCCGCTGGATTTCAGTTTTGCTTTGGTCCCATTCCTTTCTATCCATTTTTCCTTTTGCAATGGGAATGCTTAGTCTTTGCCACTGTATATCAGCAATGTTTCTTTTTTATTTGTATAGGGGCTCATAGCTAAGTTTGCTTTGTCTCAAAGGAGACTTTGGACTTAAGACTTTTCATCAATGCAGGAAGTTAGGACTGGAATATCAATTTATATCTGAATGGAACCCCCAAAGCCCCATACACTTCAAAGTGGTTTTTGAAGGGTGATTGTATCAAGGGAGGTATAGCTCAATGTGATGTTAGGAGAATGGGCCTGGTCAGAAGATACAGGTCACTGGGTGTATCACCTGGGAAGGTAGATCTTCCCTGGCTCCTCCCTTCATTCTGCTTTCCTAGCCACCATGATGTGAGGTTTTCCTCTGCTACCACCATCTGCTATGCCATCTTGCCTTGGAGCTGGCGACTATGGGTTGAAAATGTGAGCCAAAATAAGCCTCTTTTCAAATTGTGGCTGTGGGGTTTTATGCCCCAGCAATGAGAAAGTGACCAAGCCACTCCTGAAGCATCATGGCCCTACTAGAGATCCCTAAGTCCTCTTCTGCTTCTCCACAGTAGCTTCTTTCTTCTTTTCCATTTCATGTACTTATTTCTAGTGGAAGAAAAACACTGGGTCTCAGTCATTGGTACTTCCAAGTTCCCATGTTAAGCACCTGAACATGAAGAGCAAGTGCTCTTTATTATTTGGGGTTTGTATTCAATGTGGCTACTGCAAAGGCATTTTAAGAACATAGAGGTAACTCAAAAATAAACCCAACAGCAGGTTTGCTCACATTCTGATCACTCTCTTACTCTGCAGCCTGCCTTCCACACTTGACATAGATGGCAATGCCACTGCAAGTTCACATTCCTACTCTCTCTCATTACTTTGTGGTCCTGCCTCTGAGACTGAGGTGCATGTTACTCCAGGGAGATGGAAAGCCAAGTGAAAATGTGCAGGCTGGCTTTGCTTGCCTGCCTTGATGCTGAGGAACATGGCCTATGCCAATGAATAAAGAGTATGGCTTCAGTCCTCAAATCTACAGGCAGCAGATAATATAGGGAGTTGGCCCTCAACCTCAGTTTTACACAAAGGGAGCATGGCTTTAAACTCATGCTGTGGTCAGTGACATGGGCCAGTAGCAGCTTTGACCAATGGGCAGACTTGAAAGGAGACTCTGCAGGAGGTTCCCCAAATGTGGACCATTCAGGGCCCAAGTGGTTGAATGCTTGCAAAGGCACAGCTGGAGTGGAGTGGTCCCCTGCAATCTGACCTCTGGCTTCCACATTTGCATGTAAAAGTCATTATGAAAATGTAGTTTACTCTGAAGTCAGGACTCTATGCGAAGCACACTGCCTTCTGAGAGAAGTGATAATGACCACAGCCCAGTAGATCCCCCAGGAGAGGTGGAGATTGTATGGAAGGTGGGCAGAGTGGTGAGGGAAGCCAAGCTTTTGGGCATGGGGAAGTCTGTGAAGTGTTTGTTCCGACACTGTGTACTTGGTGAAGTGTACAGCCTTACCTAATCATAGCCACTGAAAGAGGTGTGAAGCACTTCATTTAACTGAGGTGTAGCTATGTTGTTTAGAATTGACTTGGTTTGAGGTAGTTTCAGAGACTAAGCCCAACAGCTTCAATTTCCAACTTCCTTAACTGAAAAGCATAATTTGGCAACTAGATTTTCTGAATCCAAAGTGGATTTAACATTGGGTTGCCCTTCAAGATACAAGGGTCTATTACTGTGGCCTAGAGAAGGCCACCCACCTATCTGGAAGACATCTTTGTGATAGATTAACTAATGGTCAGTTGGGAACACCCAGCTGAGCTGAGTCAGCATGATTCTTGGCATGGAAGGCCCACCTGAGGACTGTTGCCAATAGCTTACAAGGAGAACTGGAGGCAAAGATGGTATGCTATTTTCCTGGAGAAGCTCTTGCCATGGCTGGTTTTTGTGATTCAAACTCGGCTGTTCTAATTGTCAGAGGAGCTGAAGTTCTGTTGCCTGGGATGGCTGTTCTTTTCTTGTTCTTTGCCTTGAGCATCATTTCCTGGCTCCAGTGCAGATCCCTCAACCTGGTGGCACAGTTCTTTCACCCCACTGGTGCAGACTTTTTAGCTTCCACCACCCGCAGCAGTGGTGCCAGGGCTAGAGTCCAGGACTTGGCCCCCAGGATAAGTACTTTTGAACTCCTATCCAACCTACCTCTCAGGAGGCCTGAAGGGGAGAGTGGTAAGAAAAGTTTAAACACAAAGAAGAGAGTGGAGGAGGGGAGAAAGAAAGGAAGGGAGTAGTGAGGGCATATAAATAAATATTAACTCCTTCATTCCAAACATCAGCCATTCATAGGAATATTAACTCTAAACAGGCTTCAATGTTCCAGTTCACTCTGTTTGAATTACACTAATTTCCGGCTGCCCTTTCAAATTGTTCAACTGCTCTAATTATTTTTATTTTCAAGAATACAATTTATTGCTATGACCATACTTGCACAACAGGTCTCAAACTTACTCCACCAAATAGCAGAAACTTTGTAGTTTTAATTCTTAAATCTTGAAAGTCAGTTTTTGTGGCTCATGGAAATGTAACCTTTTGACAAAGGTGATTAATGCTGTGGGCTGGAAGGTATCAAGCAGTCGTCACACTTTCACAACTGCTAAGCCAGGGAAGTTGAGGACACATGGCTACTATTAGGTTCTAAGCCAGCACTGCTTAAAACTGTTGTGGGAAGGAATCTTGTTGGTTGCCCAATAGTCCATAAGATTCTTTACTCTTTTTTGGCTTCCTGAGCTAAACTACTGTGGTTCAAGGTATGTTTTACTTCATGGAGAAACTAACTGGAACCCATCACTCCATGAACTTTGTAACTGCAATACTTTTTCCAAGCTGTTCACTGTACAGGGCAGGGAGTCCATCAATGGGCTGGTCTGCAAAGGGATGGAAAAAAATGCATCATCTCATCGTTTGATTTCCCCCAAAGGGCTGTCTTTCCCCCTTGCACTCACTGTGTGTATCCAAATGGTAAATTAATAGCCACAGTGCTGCAAGAGAGATGACCTGACAAACCACCTGGTCCTATAGATTTAGCCAGCTTTAAATTCCTGATTCTTTAGCGCTGCATTTCTCTGCCAGCAGCAAGACTGGCAACCTGGGATATGCCAAGTTCTTGGCTCTAAATTGCAAAACAAAACAGTACAGGAGGGAATTTGTGAGTTAGTAGATTTGTAAACACTGTAACAAGTCACCGTGTAAACATTTGTTTTTGTGTACCTATTATTTCTCTCAGGCAGCTACCTGGATGCCATCCTGACAGTGCCAAACTGTGCTGCTAGAGTTATCAATGACTTCTTCATTCACACTTAAATGAACTCAGCATATTTTCCACCGTTAAGAAAAAAAAACACAAAAAACCTAATAACAAAACTCTGAGACAACAAAATAACCCACTTAATTAAACAGTAATTTCAGAGCAGCTCAGTAATTATGGAAGGAGGGTCTGCCATGTCACTCAATCACCATCAAAGCCACAGGGGTATTGCCATGTGTTCATGAAGATGTCATTCCGATGGAGTCAACCCAGGGACATGAACTGGAGGCCAGCTCCATTTACATGGGTGAAACTGTCTCATCACAAGTCTGTCCTGACTTCTGTAAGTCCCATGACACTTCCTGGGTCTGACCAAGTATGCTCTACATTTTGAATCTGCACCATAAGCCAAAGTTCTTCTATTAGTTCCTTAAGAAATACAGGTGCAGTAAGGGAGGTGACTTGGGGAGGTCCCATAGCAGGGAGGCAGTAGGTCAGGTCTGGGTCTGAGTACAGATACACTTTATTCCAGAGCCTGTACTCTTAATCATTTTGCTAAAATTTCTCTGTAACAAAATAATAAATGTAAAAATTCGACATGACAAAAGACATCTTAGATGACACTACAGAGCACTGGCATTTTCTTCTGTTTCTAGGACGGACTCTCCTTCCCATTTAGCTTCCACCTCACTCAAATCCAAGGAAAGGGGAGAGTTATAATTACAATGTTTCAATGAAATTAGAAAGAGGTGAAGCTCAAGTATTGATTTTTAAAACATTTTTGTAGCATCTCAGGGTCAGAAGGGCTTACCCAAGGTTATCTAATTTGCTTCTTGCCCCAGGCAGGAGGACTTAAATCATCCCAAAGAAAGGAAGTTTCATGCAATTTGTGAGCATTACTGAACTCCATCTACCTGAGGCATGCTGTACGCGCCACTTTCCTGTCACAGGCTCTGCCACATGTACTAGAGCACTTTTTAGAGGAAAGCTATGGCACAAATGCAAATTAGTAACACTATAAATCAGCTAAATTCCCTTATGCACCTACCCCAGCCAAAAAATGTTTGAGGCCCGAGCTACAATGCCAGTCAGTCTTTGTCAGAAAATATATTTATTATTGATAGTGAGTCAAGTTGTCAGTATTCATGTTAGAGGTTGCATAAACCAAGGTTGCTTTTATATTTATAAAAATGTCTTATTTCATTTGTAATCATAAACATCATTCCAATAAAAGAGGAACATTTTCTCTCCTTTTTCTCTTACTTGCATGACCACCACAAGTGAAAATGAAATAGTTCTTAGGCAAAGAAAAGGAAGAAAGAGGAAACAAGTAAGACAGAGCCTAGGCGATTCCACACAGCACTTTTCCTGAGCTCTGTGTTTTTCTGCTCCTTCCTCTCCCTACTCCAATTAGCTCAGCCTCCTCACCTGCTCCCAGCTTTGTTAGAGATGAAGTCACCAAGAGGTGGAGCCTGGTGTGAAAAGATACATCATATGGTCAGTAGAAGTGGAATAGAAAGTACAAAAAGGTGGAGAGCACTGCTCTTCTCTTTTATTTTTCCATAAATTGGGTTTACTGATACAGAACAGTGTCCTCCTGATCTAGACCTTGTCTTCTCAAACTTGTTGATCAAAGCATGATATGATTTTGTTGAATTCATTTTCTGGTGCTTCTTTTTAGTGGTCTTCTCTTTTTTAAGTGCATTATTTTCTCACTCCGAAAAAAAGTGTTCCACTTCTGGAATCAAAGTTTTGCATGTTCTAAAGTTGGTTTTATCCTCCCTTCTCCAGCACGCTCTGCAAGAGTAATAAAAAGCATGTTATACTACCAGAAAGATGGGTACAAGGCAGGGGGAGATGGCAGTTAACTACTTAGGATGATTTAGATTGCTTTTCAAATATCAACTTCAAAAACATAAAACAAGGCATATGCTCGCTACTGTACCATTCATGAATACTAGGTGTTGTATCGGGTATAATTTCCAAATGACCTCTCCCTACCAGCCCACCACAAGAATGTCCTGGATGGTGGGAGTGGGAGCATGCACGCCACCTCACTATAGGGGCATTTGGGAGTATGGCCCCAGTGACAAAGGGGAACTATTTCCAAGGAAGTGGGGAAGGGAGGGATTACAGCCAAGGGCTCTGAGGCAGAATCTGTCAGTTGAAGAACATGAGTCAGTGCCAGAACCTGTTTCTGAATTGCAGAGACCATCCCTACTTTCATTGTAGTTATTCTTATGGATGGAGGGTGGCAAATACAAAGAATTTTTAACTATCAGATTACAACTCTATAGCCTTTATTCTCCGAGATCTTTAAGAAGAAAAAACTGATCTTTATCTCTTTAGTTTTGAAAGTCCCTGGAACTGGGTAGGTGAGGCCCAAGGCTGACTCTAGTTCACAGGTTCATGCCTTCCTCTGGCTCTTACCTTCTAGCCACCCTGGCACTCAGCTCCAAGCTGTGCTCCTATGGGCTCTTTGTGCTCAGATGATGGGAAATTAACACACACATTATGGGAAATTAAAGAATAATGCAGAGTAATAATTTGCTGATTTTTATTTATGTGCTAAATATAAATTAAAACTTAATTTTAAGTAGTAAATGCACATGTAAAAAAATTCATAAGGAACAAAAATATATCTGAGAAAAATGTAGCCTTTCCTTTCTCCCTTGTTTCCAGTTTCTTGTGGATACATCCAGAAAGAGGTAACAATTCAAAAGAGGGTGGTTCTGCCTAACACAGGGCAGACTTCTATAGCTGGAGCAATCGGGGAAGGCTTCTCAAATACACTTTCACCACAGACAGAGACCTGGGGAGAGGACAGGGAGAGGTAAAGATGGGAAACAGGGGCAAAGATATAAAGGAAGGAATCAGCCCAACTCCCAAAGGGCAAGGAGGGAGATAAGCCTCACTGAAAGAGAGACTTTGTACTCAGGATTTATGGAAAGAGTGTTCAAAAGGTCCAGAATGGATGCCAGGCAGAGATGCTTTCTGCTGGCCACCGAAAAAAATGTGGGAATGTGCTTTTTTTGGGTACCGGAGATCAAACTCGGATCCTTGTGCTTGCAAGGCAGGCGGTGGAACCGCTGAGCTAAATCCCCAGCCCTGGGAATGTGCTTATGAATAGGAGAATGACATCTAGGAAGGTTAAATAAGGATGATATCCTTGGTACAAATGGCTCCAACAGATGAGTCTGGAGGCAGGAAGATCAGGAAGGGACAGATTGGAAACCAGAGGGCATACACTGAACCACAAAAAGAAACCTGATGAAAAAGAAAGTGAGATCTTCCATACAGGTAGACCCTTGGTGGCAGGGACAGTGTGCAGAAGGGTCATCTGGAAACTAGGTGGTCAGTGGGAGAAGCCAGAAAGAGGAAAAAAGACAGACAACTTAAATCCTGAGTTTGTGATTTAGACAGTTTGCGAGACATTCCACATGGAAATGTCTGATAAACTGTGGGCTTTGGAAGAGAATCCGAAGGTCTCTGGAGATTTAAGGTAAAAACTAAAGAAAAAAAGATTGAAAAGGGGCAGAAGACAGGATGGAAAGACAAAAAGGAGGAGTACATTGGGTCACAGAAGCAAAAGGTGGACAAATTATCCTACAGATTATTCTAAATTGTTTCTGATTATAGCTTTCTAGGTATTTGATCTATAATGCATCAAAGGATAGATTTAAAAACAGACAAACTAGCTAGAGAGACCACACAGAGAAGCAGAAAGAAAAGATGATTTAGTCAAACAGGAAATAAGTTTAAAAAGTTAGATGTGTCCAGAGGAAACAGGAAAGACAAAGTAGAAGTAGAAGGATCTGGCTGGGGTGCTCTACAGAACACACACCAGAATGTGAGGTATCTCTCAAGCCCATCATCAAAAGAGCTCTGTGTTGGTTGGGAAAATAAAATACTGAGCAGCTACCATGCAAGACTCAGACACCTTCTGGCAGTGTAACAGCATCTCATCTGTGCTCACCCCCTTGTGACTTGATCTAAGTGGAAGTTTCTGCAATTACACAGATGGGTGCTCTGTAAGTTCCTGATGTACAGACAACCTCACCCTGACACGCTGTATTAAATTCAAAATGGAAGCCAGAAGAAAACAGACCTGTACTGGGCCCTTCTAAAGGTAGTCACTGAAGAAAGTGGCCTACTTATGAGTGAAGCTGTTTGATCAGTGTGCATTTAGGGGCTACAGATTTACTTTGTTCTTGAACACATTGATGTGAACATTAAGCTGGCGTCTGCCTGGACAAGAGTGCACGCCTTATCTCTTCCTATAATTTCAGGTCCTAAGATTGTAAGGGTAGCCATGTGACAATGTGCCTCTTTTCAAATGTTTTAAAATAATCTGCAGCTACTATTGCATAATTAAAGCAGTATTTAAAGGGCTTTGGGAGAGTTTAGAAATTTTTTAACCATTCTTTTCTCTCTAAATAGATATAGGTACTTTTTCAGACAAATGATATAATACTAACATGTTATGCTCTCTTGGAGATAGTCCAAGCTGGCCCTAGCCAGGCTGGGTCAAGCCAGTCTTACGTAAAGACACCACTAGAACATAAGTAGACAAATATAAAACACATAACCCTTCTAATCACATTCCCCATATATCGTGCTACAAGTATCAAAATCCAAATTCTCAAAGATAGTGCAGAGGTTCATTGGACTTGTATGTGACTCCTTGGAGACTTAAGAGACCACAAGAAAGCTCCACAGCTGGTCTACAAACGTGATGTTGAAATGCACTGCTGTCACCAAAGGGTGGCAGAGGTAGTACAAAAGTTCCTCACTGATGTCAAAGACATTAACAAAAACAAGGTAAAGAGTTGAATTTTTAAGAAGATGAATAAACTGGTAATACTCTCTGTGTTATTATTCCATTGTAGCTATGCAGTAAAACCTGCTCAGACCCATTAGGGTCTTGGGTTCCACCTTGTAGGCTCTTCCATAGTCTCTGGATTGGTTCTGTAAGTAGAGGTTGAATTTCAACACTGCATAAATTTAACACTTCATAAATTAACATAAGAAATTCCTGAAAAAACAAGGGAGAAGCTTTGCAAGTTATAAAATTGCTTCCTTCATTTAAGGAACTGCTAACACTTAAGACACATAAAGAGATTCCTTGCTTTTTGCTCATTATTCACATATTTGAGCCTGCAGAAACTTTTTGTGAACACTAGGCAAATTATCAAAAGAAGGTAAGAGTTCATGTTTTGTTTGTTTTTTTTCTTGGTACCAGGGATTGAACTTGGGTCCTTGTGCTTACTTGCAAAGCAGGCACCAGAACCACTGAGCTAAATCCCCAGCCAAGGAGGTAAGAGTTCAAGCTTTAACATTACTCTTTTCCCAAGTCTCTTTCTAGTTCCTACCACTGAGGAACAATTGGCAGCTCACACTGTCAAACATGGACAGTGTCCCTTGGAGACTTGAGGTGGTATGTCATTTCCACTTTTATTAAAATGATTCTAAGTGCTTTCCTCAAATATTTTTGTTACACAGTAATCCTGCCACCTGATTTCTGAATTGCAGTTTCTTGCAGGAACTGTCTTCACAAGATGCCAGCTACTGGATGTCTCAGTATATTTAAGGGAAATTATGGTAACCCGGGATTGCTATGCAATCTGAACAAAGAGACTAGTTTTTCTTTTTTAAAGGTATCACTTGGTGCTTCTCCCTGGATGATCTTACTTAGCATCTCCCCAAGATTTCAAACCCAATCAGGCTTGCACAGATGCAGGAACATCTATACACACATAACGGGTAAGCGAACATGAGAGAGTGTCCCAAGTCGGACACGGACCTGGTACTTCAGTTTTCAGTAAACCGGGACAGGAAAAGTAGGGGTTAGAAGAGAGTGGAGCTGTGATAAGGAAAAAAGATAGAATGAGGCAATTGTAAGATAAGAGGGAAAAGTAATCTATAAATTCAATTTACAAGAGGCACAAAGCCAGGCTTGCCTGTGCACTGAGCGCCACTCCTCACAACCTGAAAAATCTGATTAGCTAACTTATTTTGTCCTCAGTGTCTGTCTGTTTGTTCTCCCAAGTCAGGTCTGTTTTTTGTTTTTCTTGCTTTGGAGGAAACACAAGTTAACTTTTGTCTGCTTGGATCTTGTTTTTATATCTCTAGGACAAATGCTCTACATAGCTATAAGTAATTAACTGTTTACACAACTCAACACAGTAATAGACAAAACACCAATATTTCAGTTCAAACCCTTGAAGAATGAGCACTAGAAAAGAAATACCTATTAAGAAAAATGAAAAATGTATTACCTGGTAATGTTTCTTCTTTTAGCCTCAGATTAAAAAAATAGAAAATGTCATAAAGCAAACTATTTCTCTCAGAAAGTAGTTTAGAAAATAATTTTTATGATGGAAGAGGCTGGGGTAACACATTTAAAGTCTGGAATTTAGTTTGCTTTGATGTGTCTCCAAGTTCCAAGGGACGCTCCCCTGAAGGATGGGAAATCTATTATGAAAAACCCATGTGTTATTCCGTGTAGTGCAGCCCAGCTGGGAGATTAATAAATATCATCAGGTGATGATGATAAAGAAGGCTTCAAACACAATACAAATATGCTTCAGAGGCTCTTCCCAGATTAACGTGGATTTTTCTTTGTGTTGTTTGAAGGTAGGGGGCACATACATCAGAACTCCTTCCCTCAATGAAGAGCAGGGTGCCTAAAAACAGCAAAGCTGTGGGAGGTTCTGGTCACAACTGTGAACTACCCAGGGGATGCTAGCTCTTGCCCAAGAACAGCAGGGATGGGTCGTCTCCCAGGATCACCTTCA